GATATATATCGTTATATCGAACAGCCCTAGTTTTAGATCTAGTCTGAACTCTGAACCGTGCACTTTGGACTTTTTACGTTTTTTACGGACTACGGTGCATCCTGTTAAGGGCTAAAAAATAGTATCACTGCTTGTCAATGAATGACAAATCCTGTACAGGTTTTTTGTAAATGTGTGTGTACTTACAGGTTTTTATTTTTTCACACCAAACTTTTTAAACTTTTAATCTTTAATTTTGAATCTTCTTCTGTGATGTACTTCAGGCTGCGTGCTTGCATAGATCAATAAAGTCAAGCTTGTAAATTTTCCTTCGTTTTGCCAAAGGTGTTCTATTGTTTGTGAACCTTTGTACATTTACTGCTTATTTGTGGTGTGTATGGTGTATTCATTCTGATGCTACATGTATACTACCATAGACGCATCTGTTCATGTATGTTTGCTGCCTTGATGTATGAAGAACTGATTAAGGCGTTTAATGACGCTGTGCAACTTGATCAATCTCTGCCTCGTGTCTAATCTAACTTTAGTAAAGCTGCAGTTGAGGCACAGGTCAATTACCAGATAAATACATTTACTGGACCTGTTGGCCGGCAGGTCATTAAGATAACAGAGTTATCCAAAATTAATGAAAACTGAAACAGACAGCTGTTTTTTGCCATCACTGGGCAAGAAAATCCATAATAATCTTTCAGTACAAGTTAAGTGGTCTGAGAGGGAATCCTGTGCCATTACTGGGCTTTTTAAAATAGAAACTCTACACTAAGACTGGAGCCAATCACAGGTTTGCTCAGGTGAGTTCAGGTAAATTCTATGAAGTAGCAAGAAGAGCAAAAAATTCCAGATCGGAAGTAAGATGGTGTGGTGTGATAGATTAAACAGAAGACTTTAACCTGGGAAAACAGGGTTCGATTCACAGGTGCAGCATGTATGAAGCACGTGTAGTAGGGATGTGGGCGACAGGTCAGCTGAATGCTAGATGCTGCAATTCCACCGTCCACTATCCAAGAATCCAGCCTGGACAGAAGGCTGCCCCCACCCCGAATGCTTAAGCCTGACTGTGCTCAGTTCTGAATGTTCTCCGTCTTTTAAAGTAGTCTGGTCTTTTTTTCTTCCTGTTTAAACAACTAGTAAATTAGTCACCAGGAACATCCTAGTGTGTATCTAAGAAGCTGCTTTCGATTGATACCTTATTCACATGGGGTTGCCGCAGCAAGAGGCTCCACATGTTTGAGTTGGTAGATATTTTCTTTAAATGCCAGATGCCTTTGCTGACCAAACCTCAATAGGATTTGTGGCTCCTTCCGGCATCAACCTGGGGATCTTTTGCTTGTTAGGTGAATGCGTAGACCACTACAACTACTGCTTATGGGTGGGGCTTAGAAGAGAAAGGGGGGCAATGCAGGAGATCGACTCGTATTGCATGCTGCAGCTTTAGGGCTTACTGCTATATCTGTTGCCTTTCTTAGAATTGATAAGAAATCTTTAATCATCAACCATCTTTAAAGTTTAACTGGAGAATATTCAGCCAAGGAGGGCATTTCTATAAACCTGACTGGTTTAGGGTGTAATGATTCAGTGAAAGCAATTCTAACGGGATATGAATTCCAAAGACATCTATTGTTCCGCTTGCAACTCCTCCCATACATATCTGGAGAATGACATCAGTGTCTTCCTGACTCTTTACCCTGCAGACCCCTAACCTACCCATCGATCTAAAACCCCGCCACCCTCCTTCTTATTATCTTGACTGAGAGCTTTTCACCTCTTTCCGTGAAGGGAGAATTGAGTTCTTAGCTGTAATCAGAGCTAAGGCATCAGAAGTCCCCTGACAGTTCTATCAAAAAAAAATATCTCATGTAGGTTTCTTGACTTTTTTCTTAATAAAGCCATTTTAAACAAAATAGCACAATTTTAACTGTGCCAGAGCAACAGGTGCTAACATGAAAATCATGCGGCGATTAGAAATGGTGTAATCTTTAACTATTAAAAGTTTCAGTCTTGGGTCAGTGTGTCAAGCAGAAGCTAAGCCAACGAGTTCAGAGGACAAACAAAGAACTTCCTTTGGGTTAGAAGTCATAGTTCAAGAGATGTCAGTGTGCCAGTGGCTCCATAGGCAGCAGCACATCAAAGGCAGGTTGTGGAAAGTGGAGAGATGCCACAACCCTACAAGATGCCTTTCCAAGCATGGCCAGCGTCTCACACCTCTGGCCCAGCCTTTCAAAGCCAGGCCCTGAGGGCACACTGGTGAAACAGCGGGAGCCAAAGCACTCAGGAAGCCGCTTCCTTCCTGCCTGCCCAGCCCATCATCAAGCAAAAGGCTCCAGCCAGCCTTGTTTGCTCTAAGTAGGACTACATGGCTCAGGGAAAGCAATAGAGAGGACCAAAATCACACACACTCTCCGGGGACGAACTCGAGGGAGGAAGGAATTAACATTGACAGATGAATTAGCACATGCAAGGAACAATAATCCTACACACCCACCGAACCCTTGAAGATCAGAATGAGCTTCAAGGGTTGGAGAATGGAGACATTAAGCTTTGGCAAGGTTACGGAACGGTGTCATGTTAACAAAATTAAATTGAACATTCTTCAAGAAAAAAGCAGCTGCACAGGCAAACGTGTAGGCACGAGAAACAAGAAAACACTTGTGGTGTGATTTCTGTGCAGACGTCTGCTTTACAGCCTCCAAGTTTTCTCTGTAAATTACACCAAATGCACTTTCTTATCACCTCTGTGCAGTATTGTGAAGCCAATCACTTCCAAAAAGCTCTGTGACTTCGCGCTATGAGGCATGGACCAAGACGTCAACGTTAACCTGCTGCAGACCACGTACCGTTCCCACTAATGGGTAGATGAAGCCAGCTCCGATGCTGGCACGGACATCTCTGATTGGCAAAACAAATCCAGTGGGTGCCCCCTTCTTGTCGGGCATGTGGGACAGAGACAGATGGGTCTTGGCCATGCAGATGGGCAATGAACCATAACCCTGGTAAAAGGCAAAAGAGAAATAGTCATTGTGTGACCTTGTCACAGAGGAAAGAGTAATGAGATGAGTCAGTTACTGCAGCGGCAGTGAGCTCACTTGTTGATGGTAATAATCTGTCTTGGTCTTGGCCTCTGGAGACAGCTCGATGTCATCGGCCCCGTACACTCTCTGGGCTATTGTTCTGATCTTCTCCACGATCGGCATCTATCAGAGGGACAGCGCATCAAACGCAGGTGAACACACAACAGCTCTACACTCAAAGGGAAGTGAGGAAATTAGATTTGGTGAAGTGAACACATATCAGCGTGGCATCAGAATCAAACACAGTTCAGCAAAATGAATTAAATATTTAAACTTTTTCTCTTTGAGCTCTTATCAGACATGTGATAGCTAAGAAAGCTGCCTTTATTCCTCTGTTAACTGAAGCCAAGTACACTTGATCTTGATCAAGCCTGTCTCCATTTCAGGGGTATTTAGACAACAATCAATTATGGACTCGTGTATTTGGAATTCTACTATCTTTTAATGTGACAAAAGACTTCTGACAAACTGAAAGGGATGCACAAATATTACTTCTGACCTGGAAGACTGATGGCCTAATTTCTAATGCAAAACTGCCCGAGGTGTGGTTTGTAAACAAAGCCGACACATTCAGGTGTCATTAGGTTAAAAAAAGAAGGCTATATCTGATTCTCACTTGACACTACAAACCTTTGTTTTTCCTTTTTGGTCAAAAACATGTAATAACAGAGGATTTGAGCACTATGGCATCAACAGCTTATTAATGAGAAACCTATAAAAACATTTATAAACACATCTTTGACTTCTTTCTTCATCTCCTAAACTGCAGCTTGTCTGAGAATATCTCGTCACTAATATATTCAGAATTTCAGCACCTTCGCTATGAGACACCATCACCTGCCAGGTGTATTGAGGTGCAGTTCTTCTGTATCGTCCATCCGAGCTGCTAACTTGGAACTTTAGCAGGTATGGGATATTCTCACACTACCTTCTCTTCTGCCAAACATCCAAGCCTGAGGTTTTCTGTCTGACCTTCCCTCTAACCCGTTTAGCACATGGAATAATCAAAAGATTGAACATCTTATTATACAGCAGTTAAGGTTTGATTTATTAATTTAATATCCAATAAATTCTGCTGTTGAGAGCGCTTGCATGCAGGCACATGCTTACTGCAAATGGAGCCATGCACAAAGACACAAACAGCATAACAAGGTCAGTTAATTTAAGTCACAACCTCCTAGACTCGCTAACTCAAACCAGCTGATGTTTTTTTACTTCAACCTACTCTAGCTCCCAAAATCAACGTAATTTATGGCAAACTAATTATCCAATACTAAAACAGTAGGAACCGGGATACCGCCTATCATAGAGCAATAACTAAATAAAATTTCCACTACATTATCTGCACTCACCTCTGTGTTGTAGAGGAACTGGAAGTCGCTGGGTTTGCTGGTGGCCTCCTTCACAGCCTGCGCGAGCTCCGAGCAGCCTCTTCCACCCTGCGCCCAGTGGTTGCACGGCAAAGCGTCGGATGCGCCACACTCTTTCGCTATCTGACATACAAGGTCGATCTCTGCCTGGGTGTCTGTCCTAAAAGATCCGAGGAAAAAAAAACACCATTAGCAGCGCGAAGCTGGCGTTTATATAAAACACGAATTAATCACAATTAATAGCTTTACTTGCAGTCAGCTATTTAAAAAAAAAAAATATATAACTTACTTAAAGACATTAACAGCAACCACGACTGGTACCCCAAACAGATGTGCAATCTGGATCTGCTTCCTGAGATTGCTATGGCAGCCGCCAGCAACCAGGCGCAGATTCTAGAGATGGCAGAGAAAGAAGAAAGAGAGCAGAGGTAACAAACTGTTATTAAAAAACAAAACACATCTAACCCATAAAATGTGCCACAACTTGAACCAAAACATATTATAAATGTAATAGACGAGCTACACGTCCTGTAGCTTCATAACATCTGCGCTGCACAGTTTCTTACAAGGTGGATTTGTTCATTAGGCTTCTTTAACAGAATAAACAATCCACAGGGCTGTGTTATATTATCCCGCCCACGATTACACCGGTATATAATGCAATATAAAAATGTCACATTGTGTCACATCTTTTCTACACAACAAGTTTAAGTTCAGGGGATGCCCAAGAGCTGCGCATCAGCTTCTGATGACATTTTAAAACCTACAAAACAGAGTTACTTTAACATTCCCCAACAACCTGCAAATTATGCAAGAAAACGGTTCCCGTTAAAGGTAAACTCCACGGCCTGTTTCATCACGGCATGAGGGAGGAGATACTATCATCTGTGACCTAAATGTAAGCAAAATACTCCACCGAGCATCGTTGGAGCTCTTCCAAGTTGCACTCCATGAGGGAGGAAGATGGTAGATGGAAATTATTGATTCAGCTACATGGTGGAAAACCAGAGCTTTCAGCAGGTGGTTACAGCACCTGTTACAGTTATATCGTGATAGAATTTCAAGGCTTTCAATCCCTCACTCCGAGTACTATATAAGTCAGAAAAAAGTACTTAAATGGTTTGCAGAAATCTTACATGCTAATTGTGTCCTGTGGATCTTTGTTCTATGAAAACACTCACCCCCCGCCAAAAAGAAATTCCTGTCTTACTTAATACTGAAATTATTCTGTGTCATAATAAAAATACAAAAAACCCCTAAAAGACAACAAATGAGATGGAGAACGTTTTACTGCATCTTCAGCTCACCAGTGGAAAAAATGCTAAAGATCCTTGTTTATCTGATAAGCAGTTTACAGAGATATGATTTAAAGGGCATGACAGGAAATCTGTGATTCTAGTGGGAGCTTCATTTAATTACATTAATGTCCTATTCACCATTTTGTATAAGTTGTTCAGGCTAATATAAAATGTCTCGTTACTAACACTTGTGTGCTTTGCACGTGATTACATCATTATACTTGATCCGGTGATGTGTGCAGCAATTCAATAGCTCATATTGAACCGCATGCTACTACGTGCACATTGTAGTAGCTTCACGATAAGCTCCTATGCGACCAAAGTAATCTAATCTAGCACTATTTGTGTGTAGCCACAGGCTAAGAAGAGCAAGGCCATACAGGTCCCATAAATTCATTTCCTGAGCTCTGCTTTCCTCAGTACTTCTGGTTCTTATTACAGGCTTTACAGTTAACCTTAATTAACTGCTTCATTATTTACTCAGCTGAACCTGCCTGAGAGACCACTGATTTTGGCCAGATACAGCCGCACATGCACACACACACACCAAAAGAATCCCAACTCCACTTTTGCTTAAGTCTACATAGGTGAAAGCCACAGGCAAATGGTCTCTTAATACATTAAATGCTTCTAATCACAGTTGCTGGCAGCGGATCTATGCAGGTAGATGGAGATTTAAATGTCAATGGAAATGCAGCTGAAAGCCTGAGGTGGACTGGTTCAGTACAATCTCCAAGACCCTTTATTGCATCACATAAACATCTTATAAATGCTGTCAAATGACGTCTCTCTTCCATGATTTTTCTGGTTAATATTACACATGTTTGACGCAGAGGAGAGACCAAGTATACATTAATACAAAGATGATGCACTGCTCTGTAAGTAGCCCTAATGTGTACAGTAAGCCCATTAGGAGCCAGGTCACAAAACAGCTGCATGAAGAGGAAGTGGGATCGCCACCCACGGTCATGCTTCACTGCCATGGTAGTTTACTCAAAACACAGCACCAAGCACATCACCAAATAGAGTTATGTTAATGAGCGTAAATAGCTTTAATTCTCCTGAAAACATCCTGAACTTTCAGACTAAATACAATAAGGACAGATACAGATAATTATTTTATCCTAATTACAAGTGATGCCACGGCCCAATAATTACCTCCCATCCCCCATTATTTTTACCACACTGCCTTTTTCTTTAACTCTCATATCTAATTGGCCTATCGCATGGACGTAACTCAATGCATTTAGGCATGTAGATGTGGTCAAGACGAGCTGCTGACAGCATTAGAATGGGAAAGAAAGGTAATTAAAGTGACTTTGGATGTTTGAGTATTTCAGAAACTGGTAATCTACTGGGACTTTTCCCACACAACCATCTCCAGGATTTGCTGGTTGGGAAAAAGAGAAAATATCCAGTAGGCAGCAATTCTCTGGGTGAAAATATCTTATTGATATCAGAGGTCAGAGGAGAATGGCCAGATTGCTTTGAACTAACAGGAAAGTAATATAAACTCAAATTACCACTCGTTATAATTAAAGAACGCAGAAAAATGCACAACATGTGCACAACAAGCAGCAGAAAATTACACTGGTTGCCACTCG